TCACCTATTGTAATTTTTCTGCTAATAAGAAAATTTAAACTAACCAGGAATCCTAAATTTGGAGACTAGTTGTTTATTTCAAATATACTCTAGAGAAATAATAATGCAGTTCTGCTCTGAATTTAATTTAAACAGGAACAGGCAAAACAAATCTCTGCGGAGGGCATTTGACAATAATAAAATATTTCTCCCAGCGGGTGAGCTGGTAGCAATTGTATTGTTGCCATCAAAGCTCACGTTTCAGCAGGTCATTACCATCATAACAAGCCCTTGGACCAACTGGCATGGACATGCAACATTGAGCTCCTGATGGGCACATTATTTCAGACCTTTAACTTCATGGAGAACAAGACAAATACTCCTGGGAACAGAGGATTATATTTTGAAATTCCTTTCTTTTCTGTTCTGCTTAATAATAAGAGCCTGCGTGTAATCAATCTACCGCCACTTGCTTTTTTATATTAACAGAGATTGTAAGGAGCCAGGCTTGGGAATCTGAGCACTAAGAAAGAGCGGCCTTTAATCTTAACAAAATACTAACGATTAGCATGGCCAGGATGTGGCAACGCAAACACTTTTGAACACTTGTGAATAAAAAAGTTAAAAGCAAATAAATACACCCATATTCTTTTCTATAGTTACTTTTTTTTTTTCTTCTTTAATAGCAACCACAAGGAGGAAGTCTGTGATCTCTATGTTAGAGACAACCTATACACACAGAATCAGCATCTTATCAGACAGAAAAACCACACTCCGTGTGAGGCAGCTACAGGAGGCAGGCTGTATAACGAAGGATATAGTAATTAGCAAGGTGCCATGTGAAATCAGAGACCTACATTACACAAGAGAGACGAAATACAAAGTAAAGGAAAGGTGTAAGTAAAAAAAAAAGCTGTTAAGGAAAATAAACAAAGGCTGTAGAAAAAAATTCAGAAAACAGATGGAAGCTGTCCCATTCTTGAGTTTAGTGCAGGAGCCAGGACAGGTAATGTTAAAAAAAATTTAAAAAGAGGTGTTTTCTGCTGCAAAAGCCTGTACAAAAAAAATCTCAGGTGTTTTTGTGCTTAGAAGTGTTTGGGTTTTTTCCAGTAGGGCATTACTGGGTGATGCTGCAGGAGGACGCTTAAAGATGTACAGCAGTGAGGGCTTGTCCTACTAAGGACAACATTTCCCTCTCTGTTATCTTTCAGAATCTGTCTTTTGGTTTTGGTGGTTTGGGTTTTTTTTTACATATTTAACCTCTGTTAGTATTTCAGCAGCATTGGCTTTGTGTATTCGGAAGCACACGTAACTGCCTGCGTAATAGCACTAACTGGTGCATGATTTTCACGCCATTTCTTTCTCCAAGAAGGGATCAGCTGGAGGGACCACACCAGACTACTGTTATCGGTGTTTGCCAGACCTTTTCACACTGAGAACTCACAAGGCCAAAACCCGCCGCCAACCAAACAAAAAGCCCAAATGACATCAAGTCAGCCCATTAGTTGGATACGAAGCTCCAGAGGAAACTCGGAGCCCGTCAGAAATCCCACGCCATTTAGGAGCCAGCTCAGCAAGCGGCACGTTTCCCTTTTGCATCAATGCTGACGGCATCGGCCAGCTTGTGCGCGGGCGCGGGTGCCAGCGTGCGGCGCGGGAGGAGCGGAGCGCTCCCGGGCCAGGCTGGCGCGGCGGCAGGGGAAGGCAGCTGTCGAACAAGCACCTACAGTGGCAAAACCATGCTCTTACACTGGGACGGCTTCTTTTTTTGGGGGGGGTAGTGGGGGGGGGGAGGATGGTGTAACCCGCATCAGTCAAAATCTAGTTTCGCTGAGCTAAGCCGTACCCACAACTGGAAGACTCTGTCGGTTCGCCATCTCCTTATTTTAGCCAAGTGGTGTTGCTGCAGCCGTTCCGAGCTGTAGCAGGATGTGTTGGTCAAGCTATGAGTGCCAGCACCCCAAGGGCTTTTAAAATTTTTTTTAAAAGGTTTAGTAGCTGTTTTCATAGTTTAGAGAGGTTTGCGCTCTTAGCCCAATTCCCCAGATACCTACTGAAACATTTCTGCCTAGCAAAAGGTTTCCAGTGGATTTCGGTGCCTGTCCTGGCTTTACTGCAGAGACGGTGGCGGGAGAAGACACAAAGACGGAAAGAAAAAAAACAAACCAACTCATCCCTAGATGCATCCCTAGAAGTGGCTTCATCTCAGTGTTCCCTGTATTTTCTCTTCTCTGATGCTAAATTTATGATTGTATGGTGCTTCATGATCCTCTCATGAAAAATGGTACAGAAATATCGATCATGATTTTTTAATTGCATGTGAAAACTTTAACCAATGATTAAAGACAATCACATGTTGAGGAAGACTAGGAGTACCACTGTTTACCTTTTTTTCTCCCCTTTGCGTGTGAAAATTTGTAACGCTACTTTTTTCACTTTTAAGTTATGGTGCAGTATTACGTTTTCCTTTGAAGAGGTGCTTTGCAATAGTTCAAAATCAGAACACTAAAAAAGGGGGAAAAACCAGTTCTGTGCACGCGTACCTATGTGCGTATGTACGTATGCCTGTGTACGCAGCAGTGTCAACACTAAAAACGGATTTTGACCTCCTTTGAAGAGTCCACGCAGGATTCATCTTTCTACTGTTCTGCTGCTCCTTTTACTCCAAAACCCCCTCCCTATTTTCTAGGAGAGTTAAAATACAGAAGGTACTGGTAGCAGGGAAGAGGTGCCCCCCATTTCACGGCATATTGCTACTGAAAGACTGCGAAGCACAAAAAGCCGCTGGCGCTGCCCCGGTACCTTGGCTGAAACAATTCCCGTCCCTGAGCACCATCGTTCTGTTCAGTAGCCTTTGTGCCATCAGCCAGAACCTCCAGAGAACGGCCAGCAGCGAAGGTGAGAAATACGTTGGCAAACACAACGACAAAATACTATCAAGATAGGCTAAAAAGCAAGAAAAGCACACATTAGCACTTCTGCGATGGTTCCAGAAGGGTCCACAGGAAAGAGGGGCTGACCCCGAGCAACGGGGGCTGCAGCCTTTCAGAGGTAAAAGGCTGAGAAGCCATTTACTGCCACTTTGCAGCCCGGCTGTTTAACCCCCCAGATCTTGACAACTTATCAGTGGTCTTCATTAACACCAATCTATATTATTGCTCTGGTGGCTATTTACTTCCATTCAGAAAAGCTGGATCAAATAATACAGATTTTTTTTTTATTTATTTTTTTTTTTACCCAGAACACATAAAAGGAGTCTCCTGCAGTAGGAAATGAATGATAGACTCGGTTGTTGATGGAGAAAGCAAATAAGTACTTCTAGATGATATTAATGTGATCTTAAAATAGTGGGAAAGTTTTCTTTTATGACATTGACAGAGAGGCAATGATTTTGAGTAATGCAGGTTGATGTGAAGATGCTTTAAGATTAAATAAGTGCTATATAAAGGCCTGCCAGCCTGAATTCTAATGTGCCATGAGACATTTTGCATATTTAAGAGTATGCAAAATGTCTTGTACCACACTGGAATTCATTCTGACAAGGCTTTATATAGCATTTATTTACACTCATATTGTACTTTAAGGGAGAAGTGATAACGCTGGCTCCTCTTTGAATGGAAGTAACAAAAGGTAATGCTAATTGCTCTGTTTCCTTCTCTGAAAAAGAAAATAAAACCAAAAAAACCCCACAACACAAAAAATAAAATAAAAGCAATCAAAAGTGGAAGCTTGTTTAATATTGCTCTACCATCATCCTGAAAGGCATAATAATTTGAGTTACACATCTGAACTGATTGGAGTTACAGAATCATATCTCCTTTTTGCATTTAACAATATATACAATATAAAATAAATACATTTACACAAATGGACATTGGTTGGAGCACACGGTATGATACACATCACAAAAATATACAGTTGATTGCTATACAGATGTGAAGCCCATCTACAGCTATAGACATGTTTGTTTTTATTTGTTGTTCTGTTTTGTTTTTTAACTACTGGCTATTATGCAACTCCTGGATTATTATAAGCAGTTTAATTTTTTTTGTCCTTTTGCGATCTTTGCACGATAAGACTGCCATAAAATGTTTTCCTAGGCAGGTAAACAGAGACGCTTAAATAATTAAAATACAATCACCAACACCCATTTTCTCTTCTATAAGAAAAATAGCAGTTTTAATTTTTTATATCTTTTTATGTTATCATTTAAATGCAAAATAGTGGAATAAATACAACAATCTGATCTGATTGAAACAAATGTGTAACTTCTGGGAGTTACACAATCATATTGCTTTAAATAAGAAAAAATTAAAAAATGAAGCAAAAATAGAAATTAAATCGTTATGGCTAAAACATACACCCTTTGAAATTTTTCCCAACACTTCACATTAAGTAAGTGGTCTTGAAAGAACTCTTCTCCAGCAAGGTTTAAGATGAACAACATTATAAAGCCCGTGCAGTTCTTTTAGCTATGTTTCAGGTAATGCTTTTACAGTCTTGAGATACTTGTTCTTTTGCAGCTCCAAAAAATTACAGAAAATGAAAACTAAAGTTTGCACCGTGTGCCTTTAACACATCTCCATTTTTTGTGTGTTTTTGTATACTTCTAGTCGATTGGCTTTTGACCCTGAAGCCCAAGTTCTTTAATGTGATACAGCAAAAACAATATTTATATTATATATTTATATATATATAGTGTACTTGAACAGTAGCAACTTAAACCCTGCACAAACTTTCTGGAAAATAAACTTCTTTTTTGCACTCTTACATATATAAATAATCTTATAGAATCAGCACCTTTTTCCCAGGAGTTGTATTTTTTTTTTTTTGACATTTTTCAAAAGGGATGTGCCAATTTCTGAACTCCTATCACAGCTATAAATTTCAAGTTATTGACCATCTGAATGAATTGCTAATGATGATTTACCTAGAATCACACTACAGTCACTTCTCTACTGAGAAAACACAATCTACAATATAGTCCCATATAGCTAATGATAGATACACAGTTTTTTTTTCCTAGCACAAGGCCGATGGAGCATCAGCCCATTGTTATTTTGTTTAAAGCACACAACGTAGCAATAGTTTTGGAAACTTGTCCGCACCAAAAAAGTTTTGCAACAACACAGAGCGAGTTAATAACAACATCTGAGAGATGATTGAATAAAAGCTATATTTACAGCGTTTAAAAATTAGACTTATCTATAATCTTGAAATATTCAAAGTTTTATTTCTAAGCTATACATTGGTATTCTATAATAAACTGTTACAGAAATTATCCCTTGTTTTGAAAATATTATGATTTCAGTGTGTATCTGTTCATAACGAGTATTTGTTTGGAGTTTTGATCTCTTAATTATTACTAGGAAGAACCTTATTACCAGTAAGGAATAGAATATACTACTGTAATCTCCTGAGGAATTGTACATCCAATATTGTCTCTAATTCTACCCTGTGTCTATAAGCACACACCACAAGAATCCAAACACCACAAGAAGAACAAGACAACAGTCTTTGAATGCAACATAAAAATTCAGAAAAGCACAGCAAACATGAAACATTGAAAAGCTGAACTACATTTCTTTTGTTTGTTAGGATTACAATTTTAATTACATCTGTGTACATAGAATAAAGATGTTCACATAGTACAGGGAGCAGCTACTAACACTGGTACATTGGTATAGCATTTGATGGAGGTTATTGTTTATTGGTTATTTAGCGACTGTAGTTTTCTGGGGGCATCTAATCGGTTTATACATTAGATTACACCTCGTAACAGTCTTGAAACTGACTGACTTTCATGCTGTGACAATACTGGTTGAAAAGCACATATACTGGTTTAGCTACTTGTTAAAGATTGCCATTTACAAAATAAAATCTAAATCAATAAATAAGGTATAGAAGTGTTAAATTCTTCAATTTGGTCAGAAGTCTACTACTCTGATTTCTTAATTTTGCAAACGTCGGCATTTGCCTTATTGCCTCTAAGCTACTATTGGTTCATAGGGTTTTTCTGCGTGTGAGGTTATAATTTTGCAAACAGGCAGTATCTCATTCATTTGCAACTGAAGCAGTTAGAAATCATGTAGCAACTATACCTTTGTACAGTCGCTGTCTCCTAACACCGTTACAGATTGGTATTTGACATGGAGTATTTATATGTTAGACTACTCGGATATACTGTAGGTGTAATCTAATCCTTTGAGTCAGTGAACATTTAGTTATAAACTGGAGCTCATGTTAAGAAACTGGATGTTTTGGACCAGACTGGCACACAACATAAATTGCATCCGTGATAATATGCACCTTCCCTTCGACTATTGCTTTAGTAAGGTAAATTCCCACATTAATAAATGGCTGAAAACTGGTAAAGCTGGTACAAAAAAATCTCCGTTAGTAAGAAGAAACAAAACATTTAAAAAAATCTTCCTTCAGGATTCATTTGTCCTTCATTATTGTTCATCATTGTTCAAGCCAGCACAAAAATGCAGTATTTCTTTCTCTTTAGTATTGCATGAATGAATAAAGCTTAAACTATTCCCTGAAAAAGTTACATTGTAGCTAACCTAAGAAATATCTGGAAGACTTGAAAAAACAATTAAGGAATCAAATGGCTGTAACTGATCTAGATGGAAAATGCAATGATAAGAAGCAGCCGATGCATCGTCGCTTAGTCGTCTAATTAGAGGCTGCTCCTATGAAATCTAATACTGCATTCAGTCAGTTCATCGTGTTGTACTGTACTGCTAGGTACGGTGGTTCTCTCTTTGATTCCTTTGTCATTGGGGACATTATGGTTCATAATAAGTTCACTGGCATCCATATTATGGATTTCCATCCTTTGGCAGGCCTGGCTTCCATCTCTCTTCAATTAGAGACCTCTTTTAAAAAGTTCAGCAGCAAAGAAAAAAGAGAAAAGGAAAAAGGAAAGGAAAGAACAGAAAGGAAAAGAGAGAAAAGGAAAAGGAAAAGAAAAACTGCATCAGAAAGACACAGAAGAAAAAGTTGAAAGCTGCTTCACAGTCTTGCTGCTAAATATCAGTGCAGTCATTTTTTCCTTAATTAAACACTAAGTTTCTTTGCCATTATTATCGTGTTTATTTTCCCTTTTTTTTTTTTTTTTTTTTTTTTTTTAAAACGTGCATGATGGGGAAGCCCATGATGCTTTAGTCAGACCTTGGCCTCCAGCATTTCCAAAAAAAGTTTGTGCATGGGGACTTTGCCTTCCAGTTTGATGTTGTAGAAATGCTGCACAGCCTTGGTGGAGGTTTGCCTCAGAAGCGGGAGAGTCATCAACATCTTGCCTGCGCGACGTGGGTCTTCCATGTGCTGCCCGGCCTCGTAATCCTGCAGAGCCTCATGTAAGACATCCTGAAGTTTCTGCACTGCCTCAACATCCTCTATGTGCATTGAGTCTGCAAAACAAAGGAGCAACAGGAGGTTTCAGTTTGGTGTGCCAAAAGTCAGATACCGCTACGGCTGCACACCACTTTCACTGGTTCTGTCCATCCTCTTTCACAAAGAAGGAAGATAATTACCCACTAATTTCTATATTGACCTTCAGGGAAATATCTGGAACCACTGTGGAACTACAAATGTATAATTAACTCTTGTGTAAGTAATCCCTTCTCCTCATCCTCCTCAAACAAGTAAAACGGTCACCCTCGCTGCTCCATAAACCATCTCTTACAGTCACTGCTTTGAAGAAACGATAGTGCCAAAGGGCTGTATGAATTGAGGTCTGCGTTTTATCAGGGAAGCAAGAATGACTGCCTTGCTACTGAAAAGCTCGGTAAAATTCTGTGTCAGGCTCCAAGGCTGTGGAGTTGGAAGCCATGGCCGTTACCCGCTGCTCAGAGACGCTAATCGCGGGATTAGAACCACTGCACTGACACAAGGGAAAAGCAGGTTTGATGTGATTTCCTGATCGGTTTAGCAAATTTTTTCTCCCTCAGGCACATTCAGACAGACAGGCAACACTTAGCATGTTCCCGAACAGCTTTTGTTCTGTGAAGCTAAGATCTCCTACAAGGTGTAATCCCTCTCTCACACCCACTCAGAGGGTGGTTTATCTTGTTATTGTTGGGGTTTTGCATTTTTTTCTAAATCACTCAAAGCAAGCACCTCACCCTGTTCCTTTCCAGGTGAGATGTTTTGGTGGTGCAAGTACTGAGTGACAAGCCTAGACACAATGCACACCAGGAACGAAACTAAACTGCTACATGACCCAGAAAGATTAAAGCAATGGAAGTGTGAAATAAAAAGAAAAGACCTAACTGAAATAACTGTAAAACCCTCAACAGCATAGATACAGAAAGGGAAGATGTCCCTGAGAACAGGCAGTTACTGGACCACGCTGAGATGACTTCAGATGAGCAGCCCTAATTCTCTGACTTTTATGGAGTCCTAAAACCCCCCCCCCCCCCCCCCCCGATATGGTCCAAAGTGAGGTGAAGGCAAGTAAGAAAGAGCAGTCATAGGTGAAAGAGGCCACCAAACAGCCCCTATCAGCTACCAAAATTTGGGGCGTCAACAGACTTACAGAGCCAATAAAACACCATATGAAAATATAACTGCTGCAAGGGGTACCAGTCCTAGGGACAGGCTACACTGTGCAAGCTTAGCTCAGGGTGAAACTGGGACATGGCATTATTAAGGTATATCCTTGCAAACTCTAGTTAGTACAACGCTGCTTTGCATCTTAATTTTTGCTTTTGGAATAAAGCTCCTGTTCCCAGACAGAGTAATGACTGAGGAGTTGGATGATAAAGAACCCACTGCTATCATCGTTTCCAAGCCCTGTATTAAGCAGTCTGATGCCCTGCATCAGTATTTTGACGGAGCCTCATGTTTTACCCTGTTGATGATAACAACATCAAATTTTGCACGTGCTTCAAATATCTGAATTACATTCAGTGAATTAAGATGCATCTAAGATTCATTTCCTGAAAGCTGGCGTGCAACTAGTTCCTCAGATAATTAGGCCAGATAGTAAATACCTCTCTCTTTTCAAACGCAAACATGTAAACTAAAACACAAACCAGTAAGTAACAGGTTAACAAAAATGTTCCAGCTTCTATTGTCAAAACAAATGTGCAAATTGAAAAGAAAAAAATAAAAGTTACAGCTCCAGCTCTAAAACAGACACTTAATTATATACAAGTTTGGATCATTTAGCACGTTCTATTGATTCTGATGACAGTTTATCTGTTAATTACACATAATGGAGTCCTATGGGAATTTTACATGTTTAATAATTCTGAGTCTTAGCGAATACATGCTCTAAGAAGCATGCAGTTAAGACACACGCTGCAGGGATGTGATACTGTGCATCAAGGTGCACTGTGCTGAAAGCAGAGAAACACAAAAGTATCTCAGGGAAAAAGAAGGCTACTATGTTTTAAAAAAGATTGCAGGGAAATATTACCTCTAGCAAAATTCAGTTCTAATTAATGTGAGACCATTCCCCAAATCCATACATTTTTGATAGTTTTCTAATACGGCAATTCTATTAAATAATTCTGTGTCAATAAAGGAAAATCCCTGAATTCTGTGTCCTACAAACAGATGTAATCGCTACAGACATGCTAACACACATACACAAACGTGACTGATGTCTTAAGCATAGTGTCCAGCCACTGGGCTTAATCTGGAATGCAAACTCCAAACAAATTGTCATCTTTACTCCCTGACTCTTTACCAAGTCCTTGGACATTCATCATTCTGCTATAGAACACACGATGTGCTACTCCAAATAGTTTTTCCATAAACCATGCACAGTTTGTGCAGAAATTACACATCTTTTCCTCCTCCCCCCAGACCCACAGTTCCAGGGCCAGATTTGCTGGGGAACCAAATAGGAGCATTTTATCAGCAACAAATGCTCGGCGAGTCAAAGACTGACTGTTCTTGTGATTTTTTTTTACACCATACTGCATAAAGAGCCGGGTCTTGCCGGAGGACCTGACTATAAATGTTTAGTTTTTAAACCTGTACAAAACAGGTCTGATTCTTCCCAGAATCAGAATTTGTAACTGCAACCATGTTTGAGTTTGAAGATAAGACTGATGGAGTCCAGACTAATATATTTTTCACAGAGAGATGAAACTTCCTGAGATCTTTAGCTCTGCAGTTTGGATAGCTATTTGGCCTCCAGTGTTAGGAATACCTATGCTCTACATATTTCTTACACAGAAACTGAGTGAGGAGGGAAAAGAGGAAGAGAACACCCCTAGAAAACGCAAGAACTGAAGGTGAATCAAAAAATGCCCTCTGATACAGCTATTACACTCCATGCTCTCAAACTCTTCCACTGTGTGGACAACATCTCAAACCACGGGATCTTACTCTCCCCTTGCGGGGGTGATTGCATACCATCCCTCTGGTAAACAGAGCAATTGCTTACATGCAAAAGTGATAGTAGTAAAGCCTTTAATGTATTTGTTGCTGTCTTTGAAATCAATTGAACAGCTGGGAAGAATGTGACCAGCCAGCTCTCCGCTGGCCTAATGCGAGCACTCCGCTGCCAAACAGTGGTTCACGGAGCAGTTCAGGAAGCTGTGCCTTGGGAAACAGATTTTGTCACAGGAAACGGGGTAAGAAGAAAGAGCAGAGAGGGGCACTTCCAAACAGTGATTAAGACTTCAAACTGTTCTTTAAAAATGGTGATTTAGCTTGGAAGATTTAAAAATGATTTAATCAAATTACCATGATAATTTAACTTCCCATTTACAGAAAAGATTCAAACTAATTTCAGCTTTACCCATTCTAGGGTCTGCTAATGTTTAAATGCAAACTCACTAAATCTGTGCTATTTAATTAGACCATGATTCAGCTCACAGATTGCTCAGGAAAATATTAATCTCTACAAAGATTCTTCTTCAAGTTTTAGCCTTGCAGTCTGGAACTTCCACTTTATTCCCGATATTAAACGAATGTAGATCTTAATCCCTCAGGCATAAGCCTTTGAAAATAAGGAAAATGGTTTAAAACGCTGAACTAGCCAAGGGGAAAAGAGGAGGAAAAATAAAAGAAAAGAGAAATCTTTTCAGTAACTACAGACTGGCAGATGTAGAAGTGAATTCAGAGCAGGTTAACTTATTGCTGATAAACCCAATCCTCACTAGTAAGAAAGGGCAATGTCAACAAGAACCACTATAATTTAAGGAAATGCAGAGTCTGTGTGACAATCCAGAAATAAAGAAGTAATTCCACAGACAATATGAAACTGAATTATAAGTTACATACAAAGATTTTGAATGTTCCTCCTATACCAAGAAAAACCCTTTTCTTTTGTTTTGGGTTGTTTGGGTTTTTTTTTTTTCCAGTGGCTTTGTAGACAGTCTGAATTATTTACAATTACATCCTACACAGGTAATATCCAGAGGAAACCTATACTCACATGTAATACACTTAAAAATCAGTGCCTATATAAACAATGAAATTAAACAAGGCAATTTGAAAGTGTTGTCATTTGAAAGCAAGCAGGAGTTGATAGTAAATGCCCTGCAAAAAAAAGGATCCCAGGCTGGTGAAACTGAAGAGCTCAACAGACAAACACAAGACTTGTTGATACAACATGCTGCTGAGAACACTGGATTTCAGTCTAGCAGGGGGGAAAGTTGTTACTGATTGTGCTGCGATAAGAGAGAGTGAGATCAACAAATGAGGACACTGACTCATTGAGCTATGCTTGGAGAATCTCGTCCTATCCTTGCAAATGCCTTCTTTCACCATCACGGGATGGGAAAATAGAATTGTACCTCTTCTGATCAGCCAATTGATTGTATAGTTGTGCAGAAATGGGAGAAAACTAGAGTTCTCATGCAAGAAAAACACCACAAGGTCCAGACAGAAATTCAGATTACAATTTACCTCGTTTACAATTCAAGCTTCATCTCAAATGCAGCAAACCAACATTCAGCCACCCAGGAATCGTTTAGAACACACCACAAAGGGTGACAACTAGCTAAGGATTGGAAAGCACCTGAACTGAGGGCAAGGAAACCTCTCAAAATACTGCTCTGAGGAAAGTTAAAGGTTGGTATGTATGTATTTTGTATATAACATCACTAAGAAGCGGTAGAAACCCAGAGTCTCAAATATAGTATTTCTTCATTTCAGAAAAATCAGGCAGCATAAAGGAGGAAATTATTATAGTGAATCAAGCAGCAGGGAGTATGCAGCAGTGAATGCACACATTAAGATGTTGAGAAAGCACATCAGAGAGGCAAATATCAACAAGTACTTGAAAGACAGCAATCGTTGTGACATTTGTGATTCTGTATAGCTGAGCAGTTCACAAACCCAAATTGGATAAATCAGGTTAGAAAGTTGTAGGATCCTGGAAGAATTGGATGGAATGAAGAGTAAGAACAGCAGGCAAAATGGTTTTTTGCTTTACGTAAGTACAACA